AACGACAACTTCTGGATACATTTATTGAAGGTCTTATTCCAGAGATTCGGTGTGAAGTTAAGGCTCGTCAACCCCGCACTATGATAGCTGCGATCTCATTTGCACATCTACATGAGAAAAAAATCAACAGGGAAAATCATGGAAACAGAAGTGACAACAACCAGATGATTAGTAAGCCACTGGCCCCATCTATTCCCAACCAAAGCCTTGACACCCGAAGACTAACCCAAGAAGAACTCAATGAAAGATTAGTAAAGAGTTTGTATTATGATGAAAAATGGAGTATGGAGCACCGATGTAAACAAGGGGAACTTCTGATGATTGAACCAATTGGAGATGAACCGAAAGCTAAGAATGTGGACTCCGATCATGAAGGTATAAATACTAATAAAGATGTTGGACGTACCATATATACAATGCATACGTTAGCCGACTACTCTAACCCGCAAACTATGGAAGTTGACGAAACTCTGGAACATCAGCCTGTTATAGTTTTGATTGATACCGGTAGCACTAACAATTCTATGGACTGTGAGACTGTTGACCGATTGGCCCACCACATTGAAGACTATGACAGATTCGAAGTAAAAATCATTGATGGACGGATTTTCACTTGTGATAGCAAAGGTTCCAAGATAAAATTGATTATACAGGGCCAGAAGTTTCATGCAACGATTACTACACTGAAAGATCGACCTGTTGCTTACACTATCAAAAAGTGGAGACCATACTTACTTGATCAACGGATTGTGATGCGTTGCAGATAGTCTATGGCTAGAGTGTTGAAAGAGAAGCTCCCCGAGATTAATGCTGCTCAGCCTTGAGGACAAGGCTGATTTGAAGAGGGAGGAACTGTTAGGACCCTTTTTCTGAGCTTTTGAATAATGTTTATTGAGTCTGTTTAGTCCAGTTGTTTATTGAGTCAGTTTGGTTCAGTTAGAGTCAAGTAGAGGTTTATTTAATATTTATTTATTATTAGAGTTCAAGTCCTGATGGACTTTGGGTGGAACTCTATAAATAGGGATGTAACTGTTTCTTTTCAGTAATCTATGAAAAATACTATTCTGTCTTTGGATAAACCTTAGGAGGTCGATCCCCTCGAAGTGATCAAGGAGGGCCGATCCCCTCGAAGTGATCAAGGAGGGTCGATCCCCTCGAAGCGATCAGGAGGCCGATCCCATCGAAGTGATCATTATCATCCTCATTTCTCCCATTTCTTCGACGATAAGACTTTAGGGTCTTATCATTTGGTATCAGAGCCTACGATAGGACTTTAGGGTCTTATCATTAATTCAAGAAAACGTTTAGATCTACAAATCAAAACAATCTATTAGAAGAAAATCATCGGAACCCTAATCTCTGCCAATAGATCAATATTTTCTGCTAAGATTTACAATCATCTTTGCATAAACGCATGTTGCATCCATGGTAAGTGAACTTCAACAGACAGACAATCAAGTGACCGTCGCATGATCTACAACCAAAAAATATCATTCAACAGATTCCATCACGAACAAGAAAAGGGAGATGAGAAAAGCGAATCTTCGAAAAAGACACGACATCTGGGTTATTCTCCCATATGCTAAGGCGGAACGATACAACAGCACAAGTTATTACAACAGATCACGGATGAGAACATATATACGATGAAAATCAACCGTAGAAGGATCGATTTCAGATCAGGAAAAGCCGATCGAAACCCCGAATCTTTTTCTCAAAAGGAACAAAGGGAGGGAGATGGACCTCAACGGCAGCGTGCGGGAATGGAGGATCCCAAAAGCCGAAGCGGTGAGAAGCTCTTCGTTTTGAGGCGGTAATGTCACAGGGGAAAGGGATATCTAGGCAGTGGCTCTCTCTCCTCAGCCATTAAGATCACACGATCACACGGCTGTCAAAGCCTCGTACGCTTTTCATGTGAAACAAAACTTATGTAGCCCTACGCGACACATGGGAGTCGTCGGTGGATGTGGATTCCCCATTTTACCCCCACAGCCCCGGGCGTAAAATCGCACGCGTAAATCTTTCATGTCTCTCAAGGCGTACATGATAACATCTTGGTCACCGTAATTAAGGGTATATAAGTAGATTGCAGATCTCTGTCAAGAAGTCGCTTGGAATAGTGTTTGTTCACATGAAGAAAGCATTAATAATATGAATATATAGATTGGGTCTCATGTAGAGTCTTAAATTGAAAGTTAAGATGTTGCCATCCATAAGCGTATGATACTTATAGCACCATGAGAGCTTAATACTTACATGTGAAGCAGACATTGTACTCCCTCCATGGAAACCTTGGAATGCCACAACTCAGTAGAAATTGCCATTGAACTCTCACCAAGAACGCTGCAAAGACAAGCGGTAATCTCACTCTTCCCATTGTTGGTGTAAACAACTTTAAGTCGTGGCCTCGGGGCCGACGCGACTTGGTTCGGGTCTGGATGATGAGGGATCTCCCTGGGACATTCCTCAAGACTGCTGAGGTGGTTGATTACGGTGGTCTGATCAGGACGGGGTCGCTATTCCCTCCGGAAAAGAACTTCTCGCCTGTGCGTCTAGTGGGTGACCTCCGCCTTCGCACCTGCACAAAGGTCGAGTCAGGGAGCTCGGCCCGACCCCTCCGACGATCAAGTTAGTAGATAGTTGCAGGGGATTTTTTTAGCTAAGTTCCATCCTCTTCCTCGGAGCGCGAGCGTTTTTATAGTGAGAATTACCGTTGCATGATGTGCCTGCCCGCAGGGAGCAGGATCGTACTTCTGGTAGCGTCTGATATTGTCGTTAGCGTGGCGTGGGGGATCGAGCCTGAGCAGGGTGTTAATGTGCCTTAGTAGGCGTTCCGGTCCGCTTTGACCAGGTGTCTCATCAGGTCAACAGAGGCATGAGGCGTCATCTGGGGCAACTGATGTCACGCGAGTCTTATCGCAATTATTACCCTCATCATATTCCCCCCCCCCCCCCCCCCCCCGAACGGAAGCTATGCGTCGGTTACTGTAAGGGGGGTCCGAGGCATGGCTTTGGCTTTAAGAAACTGTCCTTGCCATGTGTTTGTCGGTCCGTTGCCAGGGGTGTGGGAATCATGGAGTTTAGTAACTAAGAAGGGTTGGATGTGCAGCGATGGCCCTGGGTAGTGTGCGGCCGAGGAGCACAACTCAGGCGGGCAAGCTGCGCAGAGGTAGTGGGCTCGGGCAACATACAATCGAGGAGCATGACTCAGGCGAGCAGGCCGCACAGAGGTAGTGGTCTCGGGCGACACGTAGCCGAGGAGCACGACTCAGGCGGGCAGGCCGCGCGGGCATGGTCTCGGGCAACATGCGGTCAAGGAGCACGGTGCAGGTGGGCAGGCCGCGCAGGCGTGGTCTTGGGGAACATGCGATCGAGGAGCACGGCGCAGGCGGGCTGGCCGCGCAGGCGTGGTCTCGGGGGACACGGCTCAGGAGGGCAGGACGCGTTGAGGTGGACTCAGGCAGTCTGCGACCGAGCCGTGTAGATACCAAAGGGGGTTAGGCCGGAGCTAACCGCGAGCCGGGAGGCGGTCATGTAGATACTAAGCCTTCACTCGGAAGAGACTGAGGCAGGGCCTATATTCCTTTTATGAGGACTACATCGGATAGCCACCGCGGGTGTTTGACTTCTTCTATGGAGCCCGCTGCCAAAAGTCGCTCCTTCTCCTCATGGCCACTTAGGCCTCCGCCGCGATGTACTGGTTAGCCCGCTGGAGCATATCTGATACTGTGGTGGGGGGTCGCTCCACGAGGGACCAGAAGAATCTAGAAGGTCGCAGGCCTGTCATAAACGCCTGCACTAATAGAGAGGGATGAGCATCCGGCAACCCCCGGATTTGTGTTGTAAAGCGATTCACAAAATGGGAGAGGGGCTCATCCTCCCTTTGGTTGAGTCCGAGGAGCAGTGCAACGGACGGCTTTGGCCGGGCGTAGGCCAAGAAGTTAAGCTAGAAGTCTTCAACGAGCTGATTAAAGGAGGCGATCGTCCCGGTCTTCAGACAACTATACCATGTGCGGGCTGGCCCCTTCAGAGTCGTGGGAAACGCCCTGCACATCAAAGCGTCAGAGGTTCCGTACAGTGCCATTTGGGCACAGAAAGTGGCTACATGGTCCGTTGGGTCGGTGGAGCCGTCATATGCGTCCAAAGATGGGAGCCGAAAATTCGGGGGAACCGTCTGATCTTGTATCTCGGGCGCGAACGGAGACCCTTGGTGTGCGTCCTCCCCGAGCTCTCCCTTTGACCTGCGAACCTCCTTCTCCACTTCATCGAGCCGCT